AGAACTTGCTGAAACAAACAAACAAACATTCTTCATTTATAGAAATTAAGCCAGATTCCTGAAGATGCCCGGAGCCGGGGTTCGGCGCTGCTGCCGCTCTCCCCGCGCCGTTCATCACTGGGGCGTGGGATGGCTGCGGCCTGCACTGAGCCTGGCCGTGTCTTGTGAACTCAAAGTCCCGTGGACGTGTGAATGTAATATGTTTAACCCAGTCTCTATCTTGTTTTACTTTCCTATTATCTTCATTCTGAGGACCCAGAAATGTTCTCGTTGTTTACAGTAGCTGAATCCTTCCTGTTACTGTGGTTCAAAAGCCCTAGACCTCAGAGACGTGGGGATTCCTGCCTGGTGAGCTGGCCTTCCCCTGAGCCTCCGCCGGGCCCTCCCCCAGGGTGCGGGCCACTCCTGTGCCTGGGGCACCTGCTACCTGCCTGGGCTGGGTTCTCACCATCTCGCTCCCCTCCTGCTCTCCCTTTACTGACAGAGAGACTGCTCTCTGCTCATCCGCTATGTACTGAGCACCTACTGTGTGCCAGGCGCCGTGCTAAGCTCTAGCAACACAGCAGGGAACAAGGAGCTTGCATTCTGGTGGGTAAAGGTAACAATAAGAAAGGAAGGTGAGCGTGGGTGAGGGTGGGGAGGTGGAGGAGGTGGAGGGCCTATAAATGGTGGTGGACCGGTGCCTCCCGCACTCACCCTGTACTGGTGAACACACAGCACAGTGTGCAGATGATGTGCTGTGGAGCTGTGACCTGAAACTTGCGTAATTTGGTTAAACGGTGCCACCCCAGTAAAGTCAATAAAAAGGAAAAAATGTTTTAAAAGGAAGGAAACAAGTCAACGAGGTAAGAATGTAGCAGTGGGTGGTCTGGGAACAGCAGGATGCCATAGCTGGAGGGCGCCTGGCTGGGGGCAGGGAGGTTTGCAACAGGGGTCAGATGGGGTGGCCGAGAAGCACCTCCCTGAGACCCAGATTACAGGAACCGGACACGGAAAGGTGTGGGCGACAGTGTGCAGGGCAGAGGGAGCAGCCAGCCGGTGCAAAGGCCCTGCCTGAGGTGGGGGGATATTCGGTGAATAGGGAGCAACTGAGACAGTTCTGAGGGTTTGGGCCTGTGGCTTCGAGGAATGGCTGTGGGCAGCAGGCAGGGTTGCCTGTATTGGGTCCCGGGTGCCCTGGCCTTTCCCGTGGAAATGCCAAGGAGCCCTCGGCTCCTCGAGTCTGGGCCTCAGAGACCAGGTTATCCTTGGAGATATGGGGGTGCAGCCACACCCACGCCCTCCTCCAGCCAGGAGCAGCAGGCACCGTGCCCCCAGAAATGCCCGCCCCTCAAGGAGGGTCTTCGCTCCGGGAGAGTGTTTGAGGCCCTTTGTCCCAGCGGGGCAGCCTGCCACCGAGTTTTTCTCCAAGACCAGGGCTCAGATTTGCTCACTGGCTCCCGGCGGCTGGGGGCGGGACGGTGGGCACTGCTGTGCAGGCCTGGTCCACGCCGCGCTCCGGAAGCTGGTGGGATGGGTGAAAGGGCCAGGTCCCGGGGCCAGCGCCCGCCCAGCGCCGCTCGCTGCTCGGAAAGGGCCACCAGGCTCACCCCCTGGGCCGCCCAGGAGAGGACGCGGGACAGTCACATTTTTATAGTCACAGAAAGCGGCCCGACTCCTGCGAGGTGGGCGAGGCACCTCAGGAGAAAATTAAAGGAGCTCCAAACATCTCAGGAGTCAAGATAAATAGTATTTTAAGACAATATGTTATAAAAATAAGAATGAATGCACAAACTCTGGATATGATCTCAGTTAATAATAACGTATCAATATTGGTTTTTAGAGACAGAGTAAGAGAAACGTGGATGTGAGAGACACACCGATCGGGTGCCTCCTGCACGCACCCCGTACCTGCCCTTGCCTGGACCTGAACCCAGGACCCTTCAGGGCCCCTCTGTTATCTTTAAAGCATTGCAAAGGAAGCCCTTGATGAGTAGAGCTCACACTCACAGAGAAACCCCACCCTCAGTCCTGCCTCCTGCCTGCCGCCACACTCACTGGGCCTCCTCGCTCACTGTCTTCAGCCACAGACCTGCCTTTCAATTCTTCGAACATGTGCACAGGGTCCTGCCTCCTGGCCTGGTGCCGGGTGCTCCCCAGCCAGAGCCCCGGCTGCTTGCATGACTGCCTCCTGCTCATCCTTCAGGTCTCACTCAGGGGTCACCTCTCACAGCGCGGTCGCTGTGCATCCCCTCTCCCTGTGTCCACCCCTCAACCCACTGGAACCTCCAGGGCCAGCGGCCTCTGGACTGGCAGGTCCAGGAGGGCAAGGGCTCTGCTGTGCTCTTTGCTGTGCCTCCACACTTAGAACATTGCCTGGAACGGAGCAGGTGCTCGGTAGCGCCACACAGAGCGCACTGCTGGTTGCCAGAGGCAGCGGGTGGGGGCTGGCGGAAAGGGGTGGAGGGGTCAAAGGTACACATTCCAGTTTAAGATAAATACGTGATGGGACGTAACGTGCAGCATGGAGATACAGCTAATATCACTGTGTTGCATGTTTGAAAGCTGCTAGGAGAATAGATCTCAAAAGTCCTCAAGAGGAAAAACATGTCACTGGTGAGGCGATGAACCTTACCTACCTAGCTCATCATGGCAACGTTTCATATACAGACGTTTATCAAGTCACATGCTGCACAGCTTAAGCAACCACACCTTATAGCCAATTATATCTCAACTAGAGGCCCGGTGCATGAAATTCGTGCACTGGGTGGGTGGGGGGGTTCCCCCCAGCCCGGCCTGCACCCTCTTGCAGTCTGGGACCCCTCGCTCCTTACTGCCCACCCACTCACTGCTCCTTAGTGTTGCCAGGGAGGCAGGAGAGGCTCCCGCCACCACGGCTGCGCTCACCAGCCGTGAGCCCAGCTTCGGGCTGAGCAGCGCTCCCCCCTGTGGGAGCACACTGGACCCACCAGGGGGCAGCTCCTGTGTTGAGCATCTGCCCCCTGGTGGTCAGTGTGCATCACAGTGACTGGTCATTCTGGTCGTTCCGCCGTAAGGGTCGCTTAGGCTTTTATTATATAGATAAAACCAGGACAAAATAGCTCAACAAGTGTTTGTTGAGTGAATGAAGGGAAAGGTGGCCCCTGCCTTCATTCCTCCGCCATTTACCATTTTTTGAGCTTGAAAGGCCTCTTCCTCAGCATCCATCCATGGGGGCAGCGGCGGGGCAAGTCCCACTGGAAGGCACCCCAGTGTCTACTTAGTCTTTCTTCCCTCCCTCCCTTCCGTCCATCCTTCCTTCTGTCCTTCCCTTCCATCCATCCTCCTTCCTTCCTTCCTTCGACATTTCCCTTGTCTTATTGAAAGCCTGCTGTGTGTGTGCCAGGCACTGTTCTATGCCCTGATCCTGCCCTCATGAGCTCACTCCGTCCTCAGCAGCCAGTCCCTCTAAGAGAAGCAAATACACCAGGTATTGGCTAACACTTTAGCAAAGGTTAGTGGGAAATGACTAATCTTGGGGTAGGAAAGGTGGGCGCAGGAACCTGGGGGGCGGGGCAGTCACAGCCTTTACAGTGGCCTTGGGGACCCCTGCTCCACCCTCTCCACTGCTGGCCTTTCACCCTGAGCCCCATTCCTCTTTCCTCACATCTAGGTTTAGGGGGGCAAGCCAGCCTCGCCGTGGCCCTCACAGACAGGGCCTCGACAGCCCTGTGCTCGGCCTGCCTTCGCCCCATCGGGCCACACGCCCTGGGCGCCGGTGTACCGAGGAACCCGCATCCTGGCATAGGGAGGGGTTGTGGGTCCTCAAGGGACGTGGTTCCTTCTGCGAAGCATCAACCTCCCACCAGTCCTTGAGCCTCAGGGACAGACAGTGTCTAGAGTCAAAGGACACACGTTCAAATTGGACCTCATTCTGAGCAAGTCATGTCACCACCCTGTGCCTCAGCTCAGTCAGCGGGGAGGGGGGCGCCCAGCCTCCCATCTGGGCAGCTGAGGTGGGACACGGGCCCACTGCTGAGCGGGGACTGGTGACAGCAGGGTGGCTGCAGGGTGGCCCAGGGTGCGCTTGAAGCTCTGGGCCAAGAGTAGGCCCAGGGCTCAGAGGGCGGGACGTCTAGTCAAATGCCACTGCTGGGGGGGTCGGGGGGGGGGGGGCGGGGGGGAGGGGAAGGGGGGAAGCTCAGGCCGGGAGGGGCGTGGCTTCCTCAGCTCCTGGGCGCTCGGTGCCTGACTCCTGGCGCGGCCACTCCTGAGCCCAGCCCCTGAGC